GGGAGGGGAGGGGAGGGGGGAGGGGAGACCGGAGGGGGAGGGCGGGGCGCGGAGAGACGGCTTTGGGCGGGGCGATGGGAGGAGCAGGGTCCTCCGGTGGCTGGCGGTGAGAGGCGGGGACCCGGCCAGCGGAGGTGGGGAGGCTGGAAGCTGGCCCTGGAGAGGCTGCACGGGGAAGGTGGGCGAAGAGCGCCTGTGCGCGCTAGGGGGAGCCGCGCCCGCCGCCCTCCTTTGCGGCGCCGCCCCTCTCCCAGGGCTGACCCCGCCTCCTCCAGCCGTCCCCGCTCCACTACCCAGGAAGGCTGAGCGGGGTGCTGGCGCTGCTTTCGCTTTCCCTTCGCGGTGCCCACTCCGTTCCTCGTGCGGCGCTAGGACCCTCACCCCGGCCATGACCACACTCAGGGTCCGTCCCGAGGCCCAAGCCAAGGTGAGAGCCACCGGGTCTAAGAAGGGCCCACTGGGGAGGCGTGGCTCGAGCGGCCGGGGGCATCCCCGACCCGCCCTCCAGGCTCCCACGCGGGTCGGGGGCAGCAGGCCGAGCCGGGGCGCCCGAAGCACCTGCGCTCCGGAGAGAGCGGCGACGGCTACCTGCGAGGAGAGGCGAGGCGGTTGTGGTTCGGCGGGGTGAGGTGAAGCGGAGAGCTGGCATGGAGGGGAACTCCGCTGGCCTGGGGCCGGGGCCACCCACAGACCTGGGGCGGGACTGCCCCAGCTACTTCCTGGCCTTTCCGTCAGGGAGGATCCCGGGGCCCACTCCGTTCCTGTCCCACTCGCAGAGGCCTTTCAGCACCCCTCCTTACACTACCCAGGTGACCCCAGGGATCCATTCTCACATGAACCACTGGCCCTTCACCGCCAGGAACGTTCTCATCCCCCATATCCAGCCCCAGGGATGCCCACTCCACCCTTCCCAGATCCAGGTCTGCAGAGATCCACTCCTCAACCACCCCAACCCCCTCTACAGGCGTCTATCTCGCTTTCTTCAGGTCTAGCCTTAGAGGGATCCACTCCACCCTTCCCCAGGTCAGGCCCTGCATAACCCTAAGGGAATTGTCCTCAAATGAACTGGCCTTAAAGCCAGATTTCTGAAGGGATGTCTGTGCCCCACAGGTGGATGTGTTTCGTGAAGACCTCTGTACAAAGGTAAGACCTGCCCATTAGCAGCCCCACTCCGACCCAACTCCTACTGCTCAACCCTGCCTCACCACCTAGGACAGGCATTTGATGCTGACTCCCATCCTCCTCCACCCCCACCTCACACACAGACAGAGAACCTGCTCGGGAGCTATTTCCCCAAGAAGATTTCTGAGCTGGATGCATTTTTAAAGGTACCGTGGCTGGGCAGGGAGCTAGGGAGTAAAGACCAAGAGAAGAGTCTGGGAGGTCGTGAGAGTGAGGTGAGAGGAACACCCTCACCTCCAGCCCTCCTCCCACCCTACACCAGGAGCCAGCTCTCAATGAAACCAACCTGAGCAATCTGAAGGCCCCGTTGGATATCCCAGTGCCTGATCCAGTCAAGGAGAAAGAAAAAGAGGAGCGGAAGAAACAGCAGGAGGCAAACTGGGAAGACCTGGGAGGAGGGATCCAACCATGGGGGAAGTCAGCCTTAGTCCTGACTCATATGAGCCCCTCTTTCCCTGCAGAAGGAAGACAAGGATGAAAAGAAGAAAGGGGAAGATGAAGACAAAGGTAAAACTATGACGGTGGGAAGAGACTTGAGTCCCACCCACAGGAGGTCCTCCTAAGGATTTCTTTCCACTCTCCCCTTCACCTCTCACATAGGCGTAATCATGTGACTGACACATTGCTCACTCTCTAGGTCCTCCCTGTGGCCCAGTGAACTGCAATGAAAAGATTGTGGTCCTTCTGCAGCGCTTGAAGCCTGAGATCAGGGATGTCATTGAGCAGCTCAACCTGGCAAGCCCTCCTCTTTCAACTCTAAAGCTTCAAGTCAAACCCTTGTCCTCTTGGTCCCTGCTAGTTAGGGCCTGGCACTTGCCAGGTTTTAGCAAGAGAGGGCACAGCAAGTGAAACATAAGTCCAGGCCCTAGGGCTCAGGATAGACCTGGCATGCCTCCACCCAGTGTGGGGAGGGAAGCAAGGGAGGATACGAAACTGGGAATTGGGTAGAGGGCTGATGTGGCATGATGCCATTCCCTCTTCCCAGGTCACCACGTGGTTGCAGCTGCAGATACCTCGGATTGAGGATGGGAACAATTTTGGAGTGGCTGTCCAGGTGAGAGTGCTACTGCCCCACTTCCCCACTCTCCTTTCTAGTCCATACTTCCTTCCATTTTCCCCCTTGCTTTTTTTCCCCCTAGGAGAAGGTATTTGAGCTGATGACCAGCCTCCACACCAAGCTAGAAGGTTTCCACACTCAAATCTCTAAGTGAGTGACCACCCACATGCATACCGCTTTGTTTTGGACAGAGACTTCGTTCATCTCCTACTCCATACACACTTCTTCCACAGGTATTTCTCTGAGCGTGGTGATGCAGTAACTAAAGCAGCCAAGCAGCCCCATGTGGTAGGTGAGGCCCAGGTCAGGGTGCATGGGGGAAGGACACATGTCAAGTCAGGCCTGACCTGAGCTTCCCACAGGGTGATTATCGGCAGCTGGTGCACGAGCTGGATGAGGCAGAGTACCGCGACATCAGGCTGATGGTCATGGAGATCCGTAATGCTTATGTGAGGAGGCGAGGGCAGGGCAGGGGTGGGCAGAGGCAGCTTTCCCAGGCCACCTACTCCCTGACCCTGCAGGCTGGGGGTTAAGGGTGACAAAGCTCAGCTTCTCCACAAGGCTAGAAATGGGGTACAGAGCCACTGGAGGCCTCTGACTGACCTCCACTCTTCCCTGGCCCTGTAGGCTGTGTTATATGACATCATCCTGAAGAACTTCGAGAAACTCAAGAAGCCCAGGGGAGAAACGAAGGGAATGATCTATTGAGATCGCTCCCATTCTGTGAGGGGTACAGCAGACACCTTCCTGCTTTTTACTAGGGACTCCAGACTTTCCCCAAACTTGCTCCTGTTGAGATTTTTCCTTCACCTTGCCTCCCAGGCACAATAAATACAGTTACACCATTGCCCATTAGCCCAAGTCTCTTTATTGGATCTGGACCGCCCTGGCTCAGGCATTTCCATTTCCATTCGTGGGACCAACCCACTGGGTGATCTGAGTGTTGAGTTGCTGGTTGGTCCAGTCCTGCCGGATGTCCTCAAGGTGGCAGTCGAAGTCCACAAGGTGCCGGTGGGCCCGATCCTCCAGTAGAGCTCCCACCATCTGCCTTGACTCTTCCCAGTCCCTCCACATCACTCTGAAATAGTAAGCCCCATGGAGGTCAAACAGCAAGTAGTGGGGCCAGACACAGACTTAACAGAGACTGAGTCTAGAGGAAGATCTTTGGGGCAGGGCCAAGGACAGGGGAGACCCAGGAGCCTTGGGCTTCTGAGAAGAGGTAGAGGAAATGGGGTACTCACAAGTTCTTGTCCTTAGGGACCCAGTGGAGACCTTGGTTCTCCAGGACGATGACTGGGGGGACACGAGGCTGAGGCACCAGTTTCTGATTATCCAACTGAGTGGAGAAAGAAGGGCAAGTGAGAATTTCAAGGGTCCCCCCACCCCACTTTCTCTTTACCTCCCTACCTGGTAACCCAAGCCTCACCATAATAAGTACTGCATCAGGGAAGAATTCTGCAATTCGCCCAGCAATTTTCAAGGCCAGGGGCCCAGGGCTGTGTAGAGGGAAGATCAGAGTGAGGAGCCAACTGTGGGCAAAACCCATCCATTTGAGCTGGGCCTCCCAGGTCTCATAGATGTGGGCGCAGCTGTGGCCTTTCCCTGTAGCCGGCCTGCGGGGATCAGGCCTGCTGGATGCTTGATGCACGACTGCTTGATGCTTGAGTGCTGTGGGAAACAGGTGCTCAGATATTGCTGGTGAGAGTGGAAACCAAAGGTGGTCTTTTTGGAAGGTAACGGCACAACCGTCGAAATTGAAACTGTATACATACTATATATATGCTGACCCAGAAATTCTACTTACAAAGAAGTTACAGTAATAATAGGACAGTGACTGTAATAAAACATTGGAAACTTCAATATTTAATGTAAAGCATTACATAAATTATGGTACATCCATATTCAGACTATACAGCTATTAGGGAAAGGTAGATCTTGGTGTGGAAATGGAATGATGTCAAATATTTATTAAGTGAGGAAGAAACACAAATTTACAAAACAGTATCTCTAACTTGCTTCATGTATATGATTTATATATATATTACATATATATTTTATATATATTATGTATATAATTCTCTCTATATATATAAGGAAACTTTCCTATTTTTGGAAGTTTCCTGATTGGGCTTTCTCTGTTCTTTCAGCACCTGGGGGACACCTCAGTTAAAGCAAGATCAGTCTGTTGGCCTGGTGCGGTGGCTCATGCCTGTAATCCCAGCACTTTGGGAGACTGAAGCAGGTGGATCACCTGAGGTCCAGAGTTCTAGACCAGCCTGGCCAACATGGCAAAACCCTGTCTCTATTAAAAATACAAACAAACAAAATTAGCCAGGCATGGTGGCCCTCGACTGTGATCCCAGCTACTCTGGAGGCTGAGGCTGGAGAATCGCTTGAACCCAGGAGGCGGATGTTGCAGTGAGCCAAGATTGTGCCACTTCACTCCAGCCTGGGCGACAGAGCAAGACTCCGTCTCAAACAAACAAAAAAAATCAGTCTGTTGATATGCAGTTGTCCTCCCCGCCCCCACCACTCCAGGGCAGGGCTCTGTCCTATTCATCTCTGTATTTCCTCACTCCAGCACCTAGCATAGTACCTCATGTAAAGCCCTTACTGCTACGCTTTGATAAAGGAAAGATTAAAGGAATGACCTTGGTTCTCTTGCGTGCCACTCCCCCCATCCCTCCCACCATAATCCTTTCCTTCTGCCTCTGGCTACGCCACTCACCTCTGGTCGTCCACTGCTGCATTGGCATGGTAGTACCCAGCCACCACCAGACCGGCCTGTGCGCCCCACACATCCACCTGTCGTGGGAAAGGGGCCATCTGTCACTAAATCGTGCCGCTGGCTTTGTGGATGCGCACTGCTGCCAAGGGACTGGGGATGAACTTGGGCTGGGGTGCTGGGTGGGTTCGCGGTGGGGGATGGGCATCCAACAGAGGCACCTGGTTGAGGGCGACCTCCAACATGACGGACAGGGCCAGGTGGCTGTGAAAGAGGGGCACACAGTCGGTGAGGCACAGGCATTCTCCGGACCGCGGGGGTGGCGCCAGCAACAGCCCGTTGACTGCGGCGTGTGGGTACCGGGCAGCGTGCAGACACATCTTCACGTAGGCCCGGGCAGAGATCTCCACCTCCCCCATGGCGAGCAGGGCTGCCCAGGAAACAGCAAGCCGGATTGGAGCCGGTTCCCCTCCCCTCCCAGGCGAGCCGGTGCCCAGCTCGCGTCCGTGAAGCTCCCTCCAGCGCTTCGGCACCCTCTTTGACTCTTCCCCGTGCCCTCTCACTTCGGTTCGGGTACAACGCTGACTAGGGTCGCGGTAGCTCGCAGGCCTGCTCCCTGGGTACAGGAGCCCGCCCCCGGCCCGGCCCAGGAGGCGGTCCCGATTGCATCCCTCTGCACCGAGCCCCGCCTCCCGCGCCCTTAGCGGGCGGTCGCGACTCAGCGCCTGCCTGGGAGACCCAGCAAGCTACCGCTGGGTGCAGAACTGGCTCCTGAAGTCCCACCCACGTAGTGCTCCTTGATAGGGCTAAAGGCTTTCATTTTGTCCAATCAGCAGCCGCGTCCCAACCTTGCCCCGCCTTTGTCTCCAGCGGACTGGAAAGAACCCACAATTGTAAAGCAAAGAAAATTGCCCGCTTAGCTGGGCATGGTGGTGCGTGCCTGTAATCCCAGCTACTCAGGAGGCTGAGGCAGGAGAGTTGCCTGAACCCAGGAGGCGGAGGTTGCGGTGAGCCGAGATCGCGCCATTGCACTCCAGCCTGGGTAACATGAGTGAAACTCCGTCTCAAAAAAAAAAAAAGAAAAAAGAAAAAAGAAAATTGCCCGCACTCTTATTGGCTAGGCTCTCCGACTTCTGCTCTCGGTTGCTGGTTGGCTTTGCTTGCTACCCGTGTTACCCACGACCACTGGCCCGGCCAAGCCCCGGGGATGGAGCGCTAGCCCGCAGTCGGTTGTCACGGAGCTCTGCAGATAAAGCAGACTGCCTTGCACCTATTATGGGATGACTGGATCTGTACGCTAGATCGGCTCTGTCACTTACTAATGAGCCGTGTTACCTTCGCAACTGCAAGGCTTTCTTGCCCTTGGTTTCTTATCTTTTGCCCATGGTCCTTTAAGGATTTAATGATATCTGTACGAGAGCAGGCTTCCAGATTGTCCAGTGCTTCACAGCACATTCTTATCTCATATTCTATAACAGGGTAAGGCCTTGAATTAAAGAACAATCCCATGGAATTTATAGCAAAGATCACAGCAAAAGAACCCTTGTCTCTACCACCAGCCCAGGGCTGAATTACAAAAAGCAGAGATAAAGACAGTGACTGGCTGAAAGGGGTGTGGGGGAGGACAGTAAGAAAAACTTACAGATTCATCCTTCCCATAATGTGCTGCGGTGTATTTCCTTAACCACAATGCCTTGGGAGCGTTATTTTTTTCCCTCCCAACCCCTAAGAAGGAGTCCAATCATTCATCCATAGTTCTCCCAGCAAAACCTCATTCTCCTTCTAGGCTTGTCCCAAACTAATGAGGATTCTTTCTTCATTCCTGATGTCCCCATGTCTAGCCAAAGCCTGATTATTCCTGTAAGGGCTCTGTGCAAATGCCACCTCTTCCACTAATTCATGAGACCTCTGAATGAAAACAATATTGTGGAATTTCAAAATACAGGTTATCTGCATGTTTGCGATGGCATGTAACAATCCCCATCCTGTTCCTTTGGAGGGCCTCTTAAGATTACTGTGGGCATCTAATTCATCTTTGTCTTCATGACACCCACCTCTTCCCACCACATTCATCTTCAGTCTGGACATAGGTGCCACTCAATAAATGTTTTTTGAATGAATGACACACACAGGAAGGTCTTTTATTTGGGTCATTTATTTTCCTTCTAGTCCTGGGTTCAGTACATAGATGGCTTCTCTTCACCCTTTGGGTTGACAATTTTCTCCAGGTTGCTGCTTATGATATGATAAAGCTCAGCCTGGGAGAAGGCCAAGGAGCAAGAGTGAGGTTCTTGGTCAATCCCCTGCCCACCCCTACTCATCCACCTGCCCTAAGGGCTTACTCCACACTCACATAGAAGGCCCTCAGGTCCAGCACCATGGCCCTGAGCTCCCCATAGGCTGCCTCATCTCGCTCGTGCACCAAGGCCCGATAATCCATCTGCAATGTGGGAGGCAAAGCTGAGTCAGTCCCATGGGATGTTGGGACATGTGTATGGTTTCCTTTTATAGGAAATAGGTTAACTAGAGAATGAACCCCTTCTTAGCACCAAGAAATAGGATCCCAAAGGACTAAGCAGAGAAAGGATCAAGGTTGTTGAAGCCCAAATCTGTTTTTCTAGGCAATGCTTTTAGCTTAATATTGGGAAGGTCACAAACAAGACAAGGAAGACCTCTTCCTCCACACCTCCTCTTCCCACCCCCAGCTAAAAGGCAGGTGGACTATCCACTCACCACATGAGTCTCCTTGGAGGCCTTGGCCACAGCATCCCCACGTTCTGAGAAGTACCTGCCAGAAGCAAGGGAATACCACAGGAATGAGTGTTGAGGGAGATGTACTCCCTCGGACTCTCCCCAAAGTCTCCCATCATCGTGATGGGGCTACCCAGCTTTGGGGGTCCAAAGAAATGCCCCTACTGCCCCCCTATACTGGTCTTCCAGCTCCCCTCACTTGGAAATGGTTGTCTGGAAAGCTTCCACTTTGGTCTTGACAGCATTCACCCTCTCCAGTACCTTCTCCTGTGGTGACATGGGAGGCAAAGACAACACTTCATGTCCTTCCCTCTTCAAACACTACCTTCCTCCTCCTTCTGGTTCATGTCCAACTCCTAACTCTCACCCTCCAAGTCTCTCCCCACTCCCAGTGAGGAGACTTCAGTTACCCTTTTCTTACCTGGATTGCTACCCCAAAATCATTTCCATCTTCAATCTTGGGGATCAGGTGCTGGATCCATGTGATTACCTGTGTTAAGAGGTATCATGTAAGAATCATTCAAAAAACATACTGGATTCTATACTGTCACTTCCTAAAAAGTAGTTATATTTAGTTGGTTACTTATTATGTACTAGGCACTGTGCCATATACTCGTCTCATTTAATCATCATAGCAACCTTCCGAGATTTTTTTTTTTTTTTTTTTTTTTTGAGACTGAGTCTTGCTCTGTCACCCAGGCTGGAGTGCAATGGCTCGATCTTGGTTCACTGCAACCTCTGCCTCCCAGGTTGAAGCGATTCTCCTGCCTCAGCCTCCAGAGTAGCTGGGATTACAGGCACGCGCCACCACACCTGGTATTTTTTTGTATTTTTAGTAGATATGGGGTTTCACCATGTTGGTCAGGTCAGTCTCGAACTCCTGACCCCATGATCCACCCGCCTCAGCCTTCCAAAGTGCTGGGATTACAGGTGTGAGCCACCACACCCGGCCCGAGATATTCTTATTATACCCATTTAACAGATGAAAAAATTGAATCACAGAATATCTAAGTGACTTACTTAAGGTTACCAGTGAGGTAACTGATTAAATCATGATTTGAATCCAAGCAGTCTCTCTCTAGGGTCCAATCTTTTAAACCAATTTACTCACTATATCATACCACCTCTACTATGAACCTGATACAGCAGTAGGTTCTGAGGTTACAGAGTGGATACTGTACAGTCTCTAATTTGGGGGGGTACCATTATGATATGAGAGGTCTAACAGAATGAGGAGAACAAAGGTGATCTAAGCCCAAGGCACAGAAGAACGTTTTCTTTTTCAGGATTAGGTCTCTGTATGAAGTACTTCTATCCATGGAGGAGTCCAGTGCCTCACCTTGTTTGTCTTTTCTTTCCACTTCCCTCAGCTCCCCAGCTTACCAGAATGCATTTCTCTTTGAGAGTCCAGACTTCTGGCTTAACCAGGGCAAGCAGGGACAGGACCTTCTCATTCCCAGGGAGAAATCCACACTTAGGGACTGTGAGAAAGAGAGGATTCAGGCCCTTTCTCATCCAGTAGTCAATGTGCCATCTCCCCTTTCCTAGTCACCTCTTATCTCTCTTACCTTCTTTCTTCTCCTGCTTATCTGTTTCCATCTAAGACAAAAAGGGGGAAAGTAGCTTTAGAAAAGCCACAGAGGTTGAAGGGCTATCATCTCCATTGGGTTTATAGTCCAAGTCCTGCACCCTGAGTGTCTCACCTCATCATCCTTGGGTGGAGGATCTGGGATGGGGATGTCCAGTGTGGCTCGGAGGGAAGTCAGGTCAGCCACATTGAGGGAGTCCTCCTGCACAGAGCTCACTGTCAGGGGCTACCCAACCTCTTCCCTTCTTCCTGGGTCACAGACTTCCCTCCACACATCCTACTTGGCTTCTGCCTCCCAACCTAGGCTCAGGTCTCACACCATCCTAACATCCCCAATCCACTGTTTGAAATAATTCTCTGCATGCTGAATCCAGTTGTTAGCTAGAAAGGGTGGGCAAAGGGGAGAGAGGACATGGGATGGGGCAGGAGGGGCCCACACTACTTACTTGCAAGAGCTGATTCAGGTATATGATTTTCTGTGGCAAGAATCTGTAGAGGAATTCCTCAGCCTGTGGGTTACATTGCAAGGGAGGGGAATCACAGAATATGCTCAATGAGATGTGTGGCAAATGGAACTGGAGGGGACTTTGGAAATAACTGGGTCCAAGACTTGTAAATGAGGAAACTTAAGTCCTGAAAATGAAGGGACGTGCCCAAGCTGGTAAGTGGCAGAGCCAAGGTCAGGATTGTGATATTCCTGCTTTGGGAGCCATGGCGTTTTTTCCTCTACCTCAAAAGTGGGGAGAAGTGCCAGAAGTGGGGAGAGTCCTAAGAAAGGTCAGAGTAAAGGTAGTTATCAATAGTTCCGGGGTTACTTCGGGTGAAGGCTTGGTAAGGGAAATAGGGCTAAGTCTAGGGTGACTTGGGGGGTCATTCTGAGAGGTTGTTATCCTCAAGTATTGTTCTAAGATTCTGGGTTAAATCTATTAAATCCAGAAACCTACCTCCTGGAAAAGATTCTGCCTGAAGACCTCCACCTACAGAGAGAAGTACCCGGATGTTGGTTAGGGGTCTGGGTTGTCAAAAGCTTCCACCCAATAGGGTGCCATCCAACTGTGGCTCAGGCCTTTCCCACCACAAGCCAGTTTTCCCTGGAAGCTCCTGCTCAGTGCAGAGTCAGAGGGCAGGAACCTGGGAATCCCCGAGAAGTGAAAGCACTAGAGAGACTGGGGGAGTTCTCTGGCACTGCTTTGGTCCCCTGAACCACCCAGCTTGGCCTCCACCCAAGAGGGTTCCCCGACCCCTTCCTGGCCTCCGATTCTCCATTACCTGTTTGCGGGCCTCCCCGCTCAGGCGCACCCCACACGGCTTGGCCATGCTGCTTCAAGTCGCTAGATCTCTGGTCTCCCGGCTAGTCGCCCGGGCTTTCGCTTTCACTCCCCA